GCCGCTCGGCGCCGGTCGGGGAACGCGGCGGGGGAGGCCGGTCCTAGGGTCAGCGGTGGGGCAGTGCCAACCGTCGCCCGCTGCCTTCACGCTTGTAGCCCTAATTTGGAGTTTCTTCACTGAGCTGCAGGACGTGCAGCACAGCTTTGGGTTCACATGAGGATCCCAAACCCTTGTCACTTCTCCCCAAAACCATTCCACAGAATCACAGAATGGTAGAGGTTGGAAGGGACCTCTGTGGGTCATCTAGTCCAAAACATTCCCTCCAGCTGTGCTTGGCCCAGGAGTGAAAAATCAGCCTGCCAGCACCAGGGCCCAGGCAGCAGGGAGGAGTAACCTATTTGAGCGAGTTGTTCCTTCTGCTGGTATTTAGGCAGTGAGTTCATTTAGGTGTACGCTCGCTGCCTGGAGCCCCTCCTCAACTATTTGGCCGTTTGGAGAAGCTGTGTGCAGGTCTGGGCCCCTGGCTCGGGTGCGTTTGGAGCAGGCTGTGGTGCAGGACCTCTCCCTGAGCAGACCTCTTCGTGCCGGAGTTGGGCTGGCTGCCGCGTCTCGGGGCAGGTCTGGGCCTTGGTGTTCTATCACTCCACATTATTAATCCAGAGCCTCTTTTGAATTTTCAGTTGCCCAGCGCATCAAGGAGCTTGTGGATCTGAAAAACAAGAAGAACTCAAAATCCAGGAAAAAGAGGAAACAAAACACAGAGGATGAAGGTAAAGGGAGGCGCAGCATGCGGGGAGCCGAGCGGGAGGGCTGCGCTGAGCTCGGACAGCTGGCAGGCTGCGCTGCACTGAGAATTAGACCATTGCTTGAAGTGCGTAGACTTAGATTCAGGAAACTTTACTGCAGGTGGGCAGTGTGACAGGTTTGGCCAGAGCACAGACCGGCAGCGTGGGCAGCAGCTGGGCACGCGTGGGGTGGGTGGCAGTGTGGATGCCGGGGGGGGACACCCCTCTCACTCACAGTTGGGTGAGAAAAGGAGTTGTAATTTGGATGTGGACCTGGGGCTGTAATTCAGCTGTCTGTGCATGCCACGGGGTTTCCTATGGCTCGATACGAGCCAGCGTGGTGAAAAGAACCTGTCTGCATTGTACTAATGGGTTTTGTAAACCAGCACCCTGCCTGAGGACCCTCAGGGAGGACACTGGTACCTGGCAAAGAGCCCTGCCTTCTTCTCTCCCGTATCGGCTTCCCCGTGTCCGTGCTTCCTGGGCTCTGTGGTCCGGGGCTCGCAACAGCGTCTCTGCCAAATGAACAAGAGCTCACGTATTCCTCCAGCCTCAGGTTTCAACTGCTGGCTGCAGGATGATACTTTATCTGGCTGAAGTCTTGCTAGACAAAGTCCATTCTTTTCTTTTTTTTTTTTTTATATGGCTTTCAGGAAACTTGAGCCAACCTTGTGAATTGCTATCAGGCAGCACTTTATATCATGTGGTCTGCGTGTTTTTAATCTGGGAGAGCTGGAGTCCAGCTTCCTGCACGGCTGAGCCCTGCCCGCGGCCGGCAGGCAGGCGCAGCCGCACGCCTGGCCAGCGCCTGGGCTGGCCTCTGGGTCGCAGCCCTGCCCGAGGAGCCTCTGCCGCTCCCCGCTCTGCAGAGGGATTCGGAGCAGAGGCCTGAAGTTGCACAGAGGGGCTGTATTTCTGGCAGGGATCTGTCTTTTTCCTTTCCTGTTCAGGCCCAGGAGAGCTCAGCCCATTCCGAACCTTTGCGGGACAGCTCGCTGCGCAGGGCGTGCTCTGCCGCCGGCTGAGCGGGCGCTGCCGTGCAGTTGCTTCTCTGTGCTGCGTGTGCCGGCGCTGTGCTTGGGAAGGTGGAGGTAGTTTTTACCTAAAAATAAGAAACAAAGTGTGTGTGTATATATATATGTGAAAGGTTATGAAGAAGGCGTGCCAGGATAGCTTTATAAAGCTCCCAGAATGAAGCACTTGATAGTCAGGAGTGCCTGTGTGGTCTCGGCCGGGGCTCTGGTGACGGGTCACATGCTGTTCCCTTCGCCGGACGCTGTCTGCTGTCTGGCACGCAGGAGACCTCTGGCAGTGAGCTGGAGCCTCAGAATGACCGAGCCCCGTGCCAGCGCCGGCCGAGAGGCGAGGGGAGGCGCGGAGGAGGCGGGAGCGCCAGCAGGTCGCTTGAACCAGCGTTCTCGCGAGTGACCGATAATGCTGAGGGTTCTGCTGGGGCCTGACCTCAGAGCTGCACCTGCAGCAGGGGGGTCCTGCAGGGGGGCTGTCCGCGGCTGGCTGGAAGGGTCAGGCTTTTCCTCGGGACGCCGACATCCGTCCCCCCGGCCCCGCTTGCCGCGCGTGTGACGGGCGGGTAGGGGGACGCAGCTCCCTGCAGCTGAAAGGCTGTTGTGAGGAGAAGTTCATCAGTAGCTTTGAAATACTTAGATGCTTATGGACGCTGTATCAGCAATTTAGCAGAGAAATCCATAAGGAAGTTAAATGTGCTTTCTTCAAACAGAACTGAATGGTGGATATGTGGGCATGTATGTAAGTCTTCCAGTGAAAAATTGGGTTAAAGTAGTGATTCCCCACCCCCCACCCCCCAGTTCCCGCAGTGCAGGGGCTTGTAAGCAAACGCTTGGATGCGTGAAGATGTGTCATCTGACATGCACCCAGAGAAATAATTTTTAAGTTTCCCACACTTACCTCTGCAATCTTCATCTTCTAGCATGATTCTCTGTGAGTAAATGAAATCTGAAGGTGGTGCAAGATCTGTTCATGGATCAGTAACCCACTGAAAGGCAGAAGAAGAACAGGTAGAAATAAATTCCATGTTGAGAAGGAGGATGGTCTGCTGATACTGCAGGAATATGAGCTGGGCTTGGGTCTATAAAAGGAGGCAAATAATGAGCTGGCAGCTCGGTGCTGGTACAAAATTATTCAGGGTTGTAAAAATAAAGGTGCGGAGGGACCTTGCAAGGGTGAGTAGCTGAGTGATCAAGCAGCAGAGAAAACTGGGTCAACACAAGCAGAGACCGTAGGTGGGGGAGACGTCCCTAACCGGACACGCAGCGGCAGGCCCCCACGCGGCTGCTTCCGG